ACAACAAAGGCACATGAATGTTCCTTAGCCTCAAAGCATCTTGAGTTTTAAGACCACCAACAAGTGCAAGCCACACAAATACCGAATGCTTCAAAACATGTTGTTTGTGCCAAACCAAATTATTCCAAGAGTAGTCCGGCAAAAAGCTGTAATATTCATCAATAAAGGTACTAAATTGAGCTTTAACACAGTCCTTCCATTTCAAACAAGGCCCATCAGATTGGGAGATAGGAAAACAGCTAACTAAATCTTTTAGATGTTGAGGAACATTACCACCAAAGTCCCAAAATGAATTAGAAATATAGTGCTTCAGCAAAGGTAAATCAAAACCATCAAAATGGTAATCTCCCACATGTTCTGCAAAAGTTAAGTTCCCACACCAATGATCCCAGAAAAATGAAATGGGGGCGTTAGGAGTAATAGTGAATTTAAAATTCAACTTTGAAGTAGAAGCGGTTCGACAGACTAAGATCCTGAATTTACTAGCTTTCGGATTGGGAGGCTTCCAAGGAGAAGTATATTGAGAAGACAGCCAGGAAGACAAAGGTGAAGAACAATTATACATTCTGAGGATGACCGAGCAGTTGAAAGCAAACTGAATTGCTCTTAAGCTCGGAATACCCAGTCCTCCTTTCACTTTGGGTTTACAAATATTCTCCCACGAAACCATGTGAAGCTTATTGGAGCAAGAAACATCTCCAAAAAATAAGAATTTAGAAGAAGTTTTCTTAAAAAACTTAAACACAGTTTTAGGCATAATAGAGCCTCTTATCCAATACGCAATCGTGTTCTGAATAGTGAATTTAATGTATTGCAGTCTCCCGGCAAAAGACAGAAGGTTAGCCTTCCATCCAGAAAATTTTTTCAGCAAGCTATCCATAAGTGGTAAGAAATCTACCACTTTCATCCTAAAAAAGGAAATAGGAATACCAAGATAAGTAATCTTAGAGCAAACATTAGAAATTGATAATGCTTGGCACAAAGCATCCTGATCCCTATGTTTATTAGAAAACATAACAGAGCATTTATCATACTTGACATGCAACCCCGAGGCATTTGCAAACTCTTTTAAGGATGTTAGAAAGAAGGGAACAATTCTCCAGATTAGCTTCCCCAAATATTAAAACATCATCAGCATATAAAAGATGAGAAAGTTGAAAGTTCTCCGCATAAAAACCTTTGAAACCTCTAGCATCTAAGAGGTTGGATAAGGAGTCCATAACTAAACAAAAAAGGTATGGACTGAGCGGGCACCCTTGCCTCAGACTCGCAGAGGAGGGGAAAAAACCTTCTAAAGCACCTTCAATAACTACAGAGAAGTTAATATTAGAAATAAAAGATTTAATCCAGTCAATGAATGACCTAGGGAAGCCTTTCTGTAGCAACCGTGCAAGCAGAAATTCTCTCGATACAGAATCAAAAGCTTTCATGATATCAATTTTGGCACAGAAAAAATTGCCCAAGCCTCTTTTCTTAATAGAGGAAAGGATATCATTTGCAAGTAAAATGCTGTTAGTAGAGATCCTTGCTTTCACAAAGCCAGGTTGAGTATCTTTGACAATAAGGGGCATAATAGGATTAAGCCTTCCTGCAATGACTTTAGCAATGATTTTATATATAATGTTACATAAAGAAATGGGTCTAAAATCAGTGATAGAAGAGGCATTGCGATGCTTAGGAATAATGGCTAAAGCAGTTGCCTTCACCCCGCTAGGAATATATCCTTTAGAAAAAGAGGACCTAACAGCCTTACAAACAAGAGGTCCAATTATATGCCAAGCAGATTTATAGAAAAAGTAATTAAACCCGTCAGGACCAGGAGAGGATTTGGAAGAACCTCTAAAAACAGCCAATTTAATCTCATCATCCGAGATAGGAGCAACAAGCATCATAACAGAACTCTCAGGAATAGCAGTGCCAATGGGAAAAATATGCATATCCATCGAAGTAGGAGCAGGAGGGTTGAACAACTTTTGAAAATACAGGATAATAGAATGAATAACCTCTTCTCTAGAAATATTCGGGTTAACAGCAAAAAGGTTAACCACAACCTTAGAACTACATTGCCTACTCCTGATTTTGGCATACATAAATTTGAGATTATCCTCACCATGATGCATCCATTTAGTTTTAGCTCTTTGAATAATCCAACTAGAAATCATAGAATTGACATGAGAGATATTAATGTTAATTTGTCTTAGCACTACACCAAGAGAAGCATCCTCCGGAAAAGCATGAATACGCTCAAGAGTATTGAGCTGTTTAGCATGAAGGTCATCCAATTGGGCATTAAGAGACAGAGAATTCGCCCAGTGATGGTTTTTAATGTCCCCTTTTAGATTTCTTAGAACATTACATAGGTGAGAAAGAGGATTACCATAAACAGGCATAGAAACAGCATTTAAAAGAAAAGCCCAAAAATTGTCATGCTTAGTCCAAAAATTTTTAAAAAGAAACCTGTGCTTAGACTTTGATGAAGCTCCCGAATGCAAAATAATAGGGGAGTGGTCCGAACATGATGGACTTTGAAAAGAGCAGTAGGAATTGGGAAACTTCTTACCCTATTCCTCATTAACAAGTGCCCTATCAAGTTTAATAAAAATAGGGTTAACAGATTGTTGATTAAACCAAGTGTAGAAGCTTCCAACCGAATGTAAATCTAGAAAGCCATTAGCAAAAATGATATTATTAATGTCCACCAGAAAAGAGTGATGAAGAGAAGAGCCACCAGATTTCTCAAACGCGTATCGACAGCAGTTAAAATCCCCTATAACAGCCCAGGGAATGTCATTAGCAGGAGTAACAGAGCAAATCGAGTTCCAAAGAGCTTTCCTATCAGTGGCATTGTTTGCAGCATACACAAAAGAGATTTGTCATTGAAGGCAATTACCAACCAAGACATTACCATTAATCAATTGCGGTGTAACCAGATTAGGAATAAAATTGAGCTTGCTAGGATCCCATTTGACCCTAATACGACCAGGTCAAATGAAAATTATGAAGACTAGCTTCATTCTGGAAGAGGATATGAGAAGAGTCAAAAAAAGGGTCAGAGAGAGAGGAGGAGCGAATACGGGTCTCCAAAAGACATAAAAGATCAAGCTTAAAAGACTTAATAAGTCGTTTACAGCTAAGGACTTTCTCAGAGTGGTTAAACCCTCTTACATTCCACGTACCAATCGTGGGAAAATACATCAGGAAGAATGTTGAGGTTGGGATTTTTTACTTTGCTTTCCCTTAGCAGTTTTCTTGGATGAGTCAGAGATAGTTTGTTTCTTTCCCTTGCTTGGCTGCTTAAGATTTTGCCCAACTATGTCATTGAAGGATGCCATATTCTCATTAGTGTCTGTTTCAGTTTGAGAGCTAAGAACCTCAAATTTATTCGGTGAATTGACACAGTTATTCGACTTCAGACTGGAAGCCAAAAAAGAGCTGGAGGAAGCCGAAGGTTCCTCAGTAGGAATATTTAACTTGGGGATGCTGACCACAATATCACCTATCAAGTTTTCAACACTAGCTTGGAGAGAACTGGAAGGAGGGTGTTCAACATTAGGTGCTTTACTCGGTGAAGGAGACATTTTTCGTGGAGGTGGAGGAGAGTGCTTTTGGTAATGTAAAGGTTGCCCAATACTATTAGTGTGAAGAGGAATCATTGATGAAGTGGTAACAGCTACGGGAGTGGATGTGGAAGCATCAGTGGCCTTTTGCTCAATACGTGGCGGCCTGGAAGGGGGACGAGAATGAAACCTATTACTAGGTTTTTTACTGAAACTTCTTCCTCTGGGTTTTAACTGAGTGGTCCCCTGAGCGTTGCTAGCAGGAGAGGGGTTTAACGGACAAGAAGAGGAGTAGTGTACCAAAGACTTACAGTGCTAGCACGGAGAAGGTCGCCACTCATATTGAACCTTCAACCCAACAACATCTCCGTCTAAAGAGACTTTGATTTCATCAGGGTAAGTAGCATTACAGTCTATAAGGACGCAAATTCGTGCATACGTTAGGCGCATTTTTTGCTCTGTGAGGTGATTAGAAGCTAGCGGCACCCCTATTTTACTTGCTATCCTCGAGATGCCCTCGGAATTCCAACATTCAAGGGGAAGATTGTGAATCTTAACCCAAATCGGAACCGTAGAGAAATTTTCCCTCTTCGGTTTGAATTTTTGGTGCCATTTTTGAAGAACAAAAGGTTTCCCAAGAAGAAACCAAACACCTTTGGACCAAGCCATATCATAGTCTTTTGCACAAGAGAAACGCAAAAGGAAAAACCCCTCACTAAGTGAAAGAAGTTTGAGAGAACCTTTTAAAGACCAAGTTTTGTTTAAAGCTCCTAACAGCGCTTCATAGAATGGTCGACGCCCTATGGAATATCCAACAAGACATAGATTCCAGTCTCTGCTTCCTTGCTCAAGCTTGTCACTTGAAAACGGAATAATTTTTTGTTCAGATGGATGATGCAAAAAATTGGAAACCTTTGGAGATGGAGAGGAAGAGTCAGGAGCAAAAATCTGGCTCCAGTTCCGCACCGATGCAGGAGCCACAGCAGCAGATGAGGAGAGTGGTGGGAAACCAGCTGCAAGAGAAGACGAATCCATGAAGAGAGCCCTCCGGCACGCTGCCGAAGGGGCGGCGGGAAGAAGGAGCGCAAAGCTGGCGGGAAAGGAAACCCTAGCAGAGCGTGCACCGTTGTCTAACAAACTATCCCTTTTTCGAAATGATCGGCTCTATCTTTTTTCTCATAACTTTTTTATTATTAGCAACTGTTCCTTATTAATAATATCTATAGAGAGGGATGCATACCAAACCTATCAGTTCAATTCACTAAAAATAAAGAATTTCGAGATTCCCTCAGATAATAACATGCGCAGATTAATAAGGTAAGTCAGAAATTTCTGGCCCTACCTATCGTTCCTGTCCACACTTAAAATTTTGAATTGGACCCCAATGAACTTAAAATATAGCCGTTAGAGACAAAAAATTCCACTTATTTTCTGCTGCAGCAATTAAGCTAGGGCATCCTCCTATTCCTTGCACTCTTCTCTTAGCTGAATCGACGACGCCATGGGACATCCCCAAGCAGAATGCGAGTATGAAAGCTTTCGAAAAGCTCGAATTTCAGAGAACAAGGTTAGTTCCTCAGCTTAATTCCATGGATTTTTTACCTTCACAATAGTATCTAATGTATGCCCTGGCTTTTGATTTGTAAATTTAAAGGCTAGAATGGCCTTTCTGAACTTAAATCGCTGCGCCGATGAGCTTCGCTCCATCGTTTCTTCTCCCAAATCGAGTGCAAGAAGCACGAACAGTCCAGGGAAGAATAAACTCAAGGGTTTGGGTTCCCTTCGGCGCTCTGATAGATTGAAAGGGAAACCAGCAGTCGTAGAACTACCATTAGATCGAGGTATTCCATTTTTTTTTTCTCCTGAGCCCTTCCTGATCTCAAGTTTAGATGATTATTATTTTTATTATATTGTGGGCTCATTCGGTTTCTTGTTGTTTAGAAAATATGTTTTAAGAATGATGATTTTATTTTCAGTCATTTCGGAGGGATTTTGAAGGTAGTTGAGAGTTTGAAATCAAACTGCTTCTGATCAGATTATGGAATCTAGCAAATAGCTTTTTAAATTTTTGTAACTTCAAACATACAACTGAACACTAAAACAATATGTGGGTCTCAGATTCTTCGGATCCAGCACCAAAAACAAGATTGGCAATGCCGGCATGGAGGAGAATGGGGTTGGTAAGCCGTGGAGGTAGTGCACGAGGAAGCGTCTATGACTCTGTTCTGGGCATTTGCTGCCATTTCTGCAGGTTCTCTGGTTTATTAGTTTTCTTTCTGCCATTTCATGCAAGGTTTGAGTGGATGTTTAGAAATGAAGGGAAATAGGAGAAAGTGGCTAAAACTCAAATTAATTTATAGGCTCCTAGTCAACTATGTATTTTATTTAGTTCATTATATACTACCTTCAATTCAAACCCAGCAAGGCTTGTTTGATTTTCTGACATAAGTAATGTAATGTTTTGTTTTTCAGTGTTTGGTTTGGTGATATTTTCAAATTAACAATAATTACATAAGCCACGTTTCAGTCATGATATCTAGATAATCTTTAGACAATTCAAACTACATTCGAGCAAGCATAGTCAAACTCGAAATTTATTTTAGATGGCATTCAAGGATGATTTTGAACCAAAAATAAAGTCGAGTTGAATTTTGAGTAGTTTTGATTTTCAATGTTTTTAGCAGACCATGCACACTCACAATTTCATGCATCCACATTCAACAATGATGGAAATCACTTCTCAACTCTCAAGATCTGAGAGAACTCCATCTTAAGAGGGATATAGTCAACATGATTCAAAGAAAGATGTTTCATCTTGATTAACTCAGAAAAACCTAATTTAGCTTGTTCAAGAACGATTTAGATAAGATAAAATTCACATTACTCCTAGCCAGGACCCAATCTAGCCTTCAGTTGCTTTCAATATCAAATCCACCACCCTCAAATCTGTGCCAACAGTTTATCACATGTTGAATAAACTTTACAGAATACATGATGATTGATTTAATTATCCATGACTTTATGGACTGTTCATACTTTTTCCTGGGTTCCATTTACCATACTTGTATGATAGCATATATTATTCGAGTGTGCAGTCCCAAAAATAAAGTATTTAAGCACTTCCCAAATAATATTTGATTTAATCATTCATGATCTCAAGGGGAAAGCTCATTTTTCTTCCCATTTAGATAGTGGATACGAGATAAATAAATGTTTAAACATTTTAAATTCAATCTAGGTCGCTCCTGCCTTGTAGGGAATCTCTAAATGGTCTTGAGATTTCCTCAGTAAAGTACAATTGTCAAGTATATCAGTGGTCTTGATATAGCTAAAAGTTTTGGTCAATGCCAAATTCTGCAACATCATTGAATGAAATATAATATGTCCATATGTGAGGTGATTTTCCATAGCTGCTAATATCCCATTGTGCCTTCAGCTTACCAATTCCCGTATTTAATGCCACCAAGTAGTAGAACGACTGATTTGGAGCTCATTTTCCCTCGGCTGTTCAAAAAAGGAGGGAACTGTTGCTTGATATGGAATTGATTTTGCGCAATTGTTACATAGTGTTTAATATTTGCATGGTTGATTGATTTAAGCAAGAGTAACCTAAATTATATCGTTCAATTATTGATTAGTAATTATATTGTATAATCATCTCAATCCTCATTAACTTATGCTTGTCCAAACTATCTGAGTTTGCTTAATAAATTTTTCATCTCCATTCAGTTATGTTCAATTTTGCCTCTACTCATGGGCGTAACCCCCTTGATGTAAGGGTGTGCAAATGCCACCCTCCAAAAAATAAATAATATACTAGTGGGGGCATTTTTTATATTCCCCCCACCCATTAAAAGAACATTTTTGCCCAACCTAAGCCTTGTTGCCCATCCCCAGAGTCTGCACTTCGCAACCGCTTTTGCTTTTCGCGCATTCGATGTTCAAGACATCGCTGCCTCGCAACCGTCTTCTTCCCAATCGCATTCGACATTCCCAATATGTAATTTGAAGATAAATAATAAAAATTTCCTCTTAGAAATTTTTTAGTATTATGTTGGTTAAATTTTAAAAATAAATTATTTTGTTATTATTACTATTTGATGTTATTATTTATTTATTTATTATTATTATTATTATTATTATTATTATTATTATTATTATTATTATTATTATTATTATTATTATTATTATTATTATTATTGTCTAATTAATTAAAATTTTGTCCAACCTTAAAAAAAAAAAAAGCTGGATCCCCCCTTACCTCTACTAGCACTAAACTTAATTTAATGCGTGGCTCAATACACAAACATCAACCAAACTATCTTTTTTCCAATCTTTTTTCGCCTAGCATATTGATTTTATCTGCATACTTCGGTAGTGCATCACTATATTGTATAATCATTCCTATCCACTTATACTGTAGGCAAAAAAAGCTATGCGGTGAAGAAGACTGCAACAGATGCAATACTGGAAATATCAACCAGCCTTGCACTGGTGAAGAGATTAAAGCAGCATCTTCTCTTTTGTATTTTATTCCCAATCGAGTGATATCTTACAACTTTATATTCCATTGATAGGCAAGACAGAATGTTCTGTGTGCCATTCTTCTAATGGAATCTTGTGTCGTGCTTGTCTCAAGGTTAGATATGGTGAAGGTATAATGCTTTCCTAGCTTTTTGCTTCTGTGTTTAGCTTCTTCTAATGGTGACACAGAAAAGTTGGTGTAACTTACTAATCTCTTTTTATTAAAAGGATTTTTACATGCTTTGTGGTAGCAGAAACTTGCTTTAAAGCAGATAAAAAAAAAAAGATTTGAGTTGGTTTTGGTGAAATTTTCTTTTGAGAAGTTTATTTTAAATATTATTTTGAAACTGCTTTGTTAAGCATAAATCATTTCTTCAAACAGCTTTTGAAAAGTAGCTTCTCAACTTTCATTATAAATTCCCATCAAATGAACCCTAATAATTCTAAAGGTTGGCTTTCTAAAGCAGCTTTTTAGTACAAAAATTTTCTTAAATAAGAATTTTTATACTAAAAAGCTGCTTAAGGAAACAGTAAGAAAGTTGTCCTAAACGAAGCTTAAGAAGAGATTGTTGATAGTTGCTTTATGAAATAGATCCACAAGGTAGTTCTTCGGTCTAAACTTTTAGAATAAAAAATTGGCGTTTACCCAAATGAACCTCCTGAATTCTGCTATGAATAAATAAAAGGGGTATTTTAATGGATAATTTATAAGTCCAATCATTTTATAGGTTATTAGTGTTATAAGGTTGTTGAAGAAGTTCCATGTGCTCTTCTAGCTTACAAATATTCCTCTCAGGTAAACTAGAATATGCAAACATAATGAATGAATTTGATCTCAATGCCTATCTCCTTTCTCCCTCAATCTCTTGGAGTTATAGGCACCCTCAAATTTCCTAGATTCTTCTACCTCAATTATTTAGAATTTTAGGAGAAATTATTCTGTGCGGAAACCGGACGCAAAACGTCATCCGGAGATCAACCAGAATGTGTCACATCAGTGGTATCGAGAGAAGGGGTAACGTGACGCATTCTCTGGACGGTGTTCGGCGTCTGCACGGAATAATTAATTGAGTTTTAGATGCTCAAAATTGCCTAGTTATCTTATCATTGATGATTTTCTGTGTTTTTCTCTGTTTTCTGGTTTTTTTTTTGGTATCACATACATTGCATTTTTTTTTTCAGATATGGAGGAAGTGAGAAGGATGAAGGACTGGATGTGCCCCCACTGTATTGAAGAGAAAGGCAACAAACCTTATTGGATATGTAACAGGTGACCAATATATGCTAAGAGCTTTTCACTTTCACTCTCATTGATCTTTTCCTACAACACCTGAACTGGAAATTCAGTTTTCCTATACCAGAGTTAGAAATTCACTGAATTTGCTGTGCAATGGCTAAGAATTTAGTCTGTAAATGAGATGGTTTAAGCTAAATTATAAAATTTCTCTCATAATGTTCATCCTTCAAAGTATTATTCACTTATTTGAGAACATATTTTTCTGAGACAGAAGCAAAGTTTTTTTTATCAACTTTCTTCTAACAAATCTTTCCTACAAATGGTAGCAGTTCTCTATGTTTGAAGAAGCGAAAGATGACACCAACTGGAATTGCTATTTATCATGGTTTGTTCATCTCATCAACTTACTGAGCTAAATTTTAGCTTCTAATTTACTTTTATTTTCTATATTCTAAAGATGCTATTATGGTGTTGTTGGAGCACAGCTCGTGAAAGAGGGTACAAATCAGTGGCACATTTGCTTATGGACGAGTTGAAGAAAGCTGAAAAGCAGTTCAAAAAGTAGAAGAAATTCGAAGAAAGAGAACATTTGAGGATTGATGGTTACAGGAACCAGCACGGCTTTCAATCAAGATTTTTGTTTGCATAATTTTATTGGGGATTCTCTTGAGAGTCTTGTAAAAAGGTTAGCAAAGATGGAGTTTCATGATGTTGTCCTTGATAGGTTTAAGCTTCAACAAAAACAAATATGTTGCAAGTGCAAAAAATTTAACTGAATTTGAATGGAAGATTAACGGTTTAGAACTGAGTTTTATGAGAGATTTAATGCTTGTTTCGGACGACTTTTTTACTGTTTTTTTTTTTCTTTTTCTGAGATAATAGATTTTATTCCATCAATGAGAAGGGTAAAAACACGCAATCACAAAGCTAAAAATACTACAGTAAGCTACATATTACCAAATAAACAAAATAAAAATAAATAAAAAAATTGAAGATAACAAAAGGAGGACAGAAGCTCATTGGACTCAGAAACGTCACTCAGTTGCAAATCTTAGATCATCCATTAGAGGCAGAAAATACAGCAAGAAGTCCCAATACCAACCAGATAACCACCAAGATTGCCAAGACAAACCTATAACCATCAAAGGTGTCGTGCAGGAAACCTGTCACATCATAGTCCGACCACAAAACCTTGCCACCCATCCAATCAATAGTCAAAACCCACCAGCAACTAGCGACCATATAAACAAATAAAAGCCTGCCAAATAGAGTAGCTCCCAAAAAGAAGAACACATAACACCGCACCAAAGAGGGTCCACACCCATTAAAAAAAGGCCAAACCACAGCACAACAACATCAATTACTTTCAATTAGATTTACACCTCTGTCGCTTACCACCCCCAATGGAAAAAGCCTTCTCAACAATGTGATTCTTCTTCAAGTTAGACATTGCATTAAACCCCTCGTGCACATCCAACAGTAGTATCATTCGAATTCACTGCTAATTGAGCTTTCATATCCTCATTAGAAATGATATTAACTGGAACTTCAACCATTAGCACCAATCCTTCCGACAAAGAAGAATCAGGAGTTGATAAAGATGGTTCATCTAAGGAAACAACCAAATCACCTGTTGGATCATTTGAAACCACCGTGGTAACATTACACACATCCATGTTATCTACTTCTAAATTGTCTTGAAATGAAACAAGAGCTAAAGAATCGTTCACAACATGAGCAACACCCTCACCATCCTCATGATCATCAAAATTAACATTACAATTATCCAAATTCTCCGGAACATGTGCATCAGCCTCCTGAACCACTAGAACAACGGGAAACCCACCATTAGAAATAACCAAGGGAGGTCCCACAATACCAACATCAATGGAATGAACAACAGCCCCAGATGCCTCCACCCCAAGATCATAAACCACCCCATTACCCGCACTAATGAGGACCTCATTAGAAGATGTAACATGACATAAAAGATTAGAAGAAACAACACCAACATTTCCATTAACAACAACATTTTCCACAGCACCAGTTTCATTCCCAACAGTCTTAAGAGGATTAACAGAAATAGCAGGTCCATTCACTATGACAGATGACAGGGTTCGACACTCCCCCTCACATGCCCAAGAGCTTTACATTGATCACAAAAGAGAGGGAAAGCCTCCATCTCAACACTCTAGATGTATCCAAACTTATCAGGACCGAGCCATATTTTTTTTCGAATACTTTTTAGTTATGTCAAGTTCTACTAAGACAAGCACAAGAGAAGGCCGAGAACCAATAGAGGTGGTGCTGTCAACTTTTAATGGGCGACCAAACAACGAGCCCAAATTGTGAAGAATTTATTGGAGAGAATAGATGAGGCCATAATTAGGGAATGAAATCCAAATGGGAATAACAGAGGATTCAACACCGATATCAAGGGAGGGAGACCATTTGATTAATTTCATGTAGCAATTTTAAATAAGGTATGTGGTAGAATACCTTGCTATAATCTAGGTCACTCTTCAATTTAATCAACACATGACAGAAATCAAGCAAGGTTACCCAGAAATCAGCAGTGAGCTAATGGTTGAAAAAAAAAAAGCCTACTAATAGAATCCAAGCTAGAGTGACGGGAAGGAAAAAAATTAACGAAGGCATACTGGAAGGGTGTCACAAGTGAAATGATCTCCTCTTCTGAGATCCACACAGATGGTAAACCCCGAAAGGAAGTCGTTTTGATCTCCGAAAAATAAACATCAGAGGCAGAACTAGATAAAGCATCCAAGAAAGAACGCGGCTCCTTGGATCCACCCAAAAAACTAGGATCCAAGAATTGATTTTCCGCCATACGCCACAAATGTCCAAAGGGGACGAAGCGGGAAATAAAAGGCACAAAAAATCAAAGGAAAATTTTCCCTAATCCAGAGAGACGACAGCAGTGGAGCGTTGCCAGAGAAAATCCAGTGGGAGAAGCCTAGGCAGAACGGAATGGAAGATGTCCTAGCTCCACAGGAGAGAAAACCAAATCCTTTGTTGTGCTTAGAACAAGTTGTGTTGTTATCAAAAACAAAAGGCACTTCTTACTATTTTCTAAAGCAGATTTCTAGTGTAAAAATTTCTAGTTAAAAAAATTGTACTAGAAAGCTACTTTAAAAAAGTAGCAAAAAAGTCATCACAAACAAAGCCTTAGACTTCATTTGGGACGGCTTTCTTATTGCTTCTTAAAGTGGCTTTCTTATTGCTTTTTAAAGCAGCTTTCTAGAATTTTTGTACTAAAAAACTACTTAAAGAAATAGTAAGAAATTTGTGCCAAACAAAGTGTGATGCCCCAGATATCAATAGTGAAAGGATTCGTCGACAGTCTTGATCAATCTCCATTCCTGCTTCCTTGCTCGGACCTGAAAATTTTAACCACATATAATGAGCTTACAAAGCCCAGCAGGTCACCAAAGCCTACAACTAAAATCAAAGCATGGCGATGCTATCAATATGCAGGTCAATCAAATCAAGTCAATCAATGGTCAATGAGTCTATGCAATGCGGAATCATCAGCCTGGACGGTTCCCAGAACTATTCTCAGGACGATATTTTGAACAGTACAGATCGGCCTGGATGATCTCAATATCGTCCCGGACGATCCTGGGAGGAAAATTCAATCTAGAGAGAAACAGTAAGGGAACGAGGTATCACACAAAGCCTTGGGCATTTGCATCTCTATTTGAGGGCGAGTAGTTATTTATTTGCTTCACTTCAATCTGAAGATTGAGGATTTAAATCACAAAAATTATCTCCTGAATATATATGCAAAGTTACATAAATCATCTTTTCCCAAAATTATATCGATGAGAAAGAAATCTCTGGTAGTAGGTATTTACATGGAAACTTTGGAGCAATGTTTTAAACTGCTACCAGTATTATTTGAAGATCACCAGTTTGAACTTGAAAAAGGACTCATTAAAATTTATGATTAAGATTATTATGTACACCAATTCAGTCATTATAAGATTAGTAGTTTGAAATTTAAAATTAAAAAAAAAAAACTCTTTAAAATTTATGTTTAAGATTTTTATGTCCATCAATCTTTGTGAGAAGTATCATGTTGTTATGTCCCCATGATCAAAGAGAAAAAATTAAGGGAAAAAATGAAGTTGTAGGTCTCCAATAGTTAAACTTGATTACCATGAATATTCATGCATTACATATATTAGAATCTTTTAAAAATAAATTCATGACTATCCAAACTTTCCAAACTTCGAATTCAACAAATTTATAGTTAACTTTAGCATCTTAATGAGATGAATCCATCAACATCAAGCATGATCCAATTCGAGCCCAAATAAGCCTATAATATCAAATACATGAAATATAGTTTAATACTTCAATACACAAATTAAGGAGCCAAACAATCTTCAAATCGTATATTCTTATACTCAAATCAAGGGGCCCATTGAAACTAATCTAACAAGCCCAAGATCATTTGACTTTTGAGGACTTTAAGATATTTAAATATTGAATAAATAGTTTATGATCAAAGGATTCAATATGGGTTGTTGTTACAAAATTTTGGCATAATTTACTACAATGTTACTCTTAAAATATTATAAATAAACATTCATTCTCCACATGGTAGAGATCTTGAACAGAGATTAGATATCTGATGAACTCTAAAGCCCTACTTGATATTCAACTCTGACAATCACCATTAGCCACCACTATCATTTGACTATCATTATTCAATCACCATTGCCTGATCATCTTTGCCTAAACAACGTCGTTGGTCTTCCTAATCAATTCATCATCATCTAGCCATCATTTCCCTACCTTTGTCATATAACAACTATCGCTAGATCATCCTAATCTATCAATCATCATTCAACCACCATAATTCAATTATCATCGCCTGACCCCATTGCATGATCGTTTCCATTGGACCATCATCAACTATCCATTGTTGATGAACTAACATCATCTGACCGCAGTCACCCAACTAATATCATCTGACCATCCTTCTCATTTCTTTCAGTAGTACTACCACAAACTTTACTACAATTATAAGAGATCTAGCAAGTACTTTCAACTTTGTAATCTCATCTTCTCTAGTTTGGAGAGAGAGGTCTTTTGTAACTTCAAAAATAAAGTGATTATTTCAACTGCGCCATGCTCCATTTTTTTATCTTTCTAAATTTTTTATATGAAAACTCAGGTGTCCCGTGTATTATTATCTTTAATCCATTTGTGTGTTAGATCTTTGTACAAATCTAGGACATAATATTCTTTAATTGCTATGAATTTTCTATCACATAATAGTTTGGCTATGGCTAGGGGAATAAATATACTAATTTTAGAGCAAAACCATTTCAATGGCTAATAGGAGCAAGACTAGTGGCATTGAATTTTCTCATTCCAACAGTTCTCAACCCAATAATATGTATGACAACTATGGACATCGTAATCAAGAAATAGTGGGCCATCAAGACCCATCCCTAGAGGTTCAAACATGCATGATAGAGGATCAACAAGCCTGAATCTTATAAATATTAAGGGAGGCAGATCAATAAAAAGTATCATCATAGAATGATGCATGGAACTCACCACCATAAAATCAATAATAAAATAAGACTATATAATTTGAAGATGCCCATGAAGGCCATCATCATGCTAAAGTTTCTCCTCCACCATTGCCCAATCCAAAACTCTTTAATACGTCTAATTTAACTCATCTTTTTCATGCCATCCGACCAACCCATAATTCTCCATCTGGCTTAATGGACTTAACGTAGCCTTACAGATACCCTTTATGATGTATACAATATGAGTTATGACATCTTGCTCAAGAAGAATTTTCTGTCAAAGATAAAAATTAGCTTACTCCTCAATGCAACTTTTAGAATTCATCGCACATAAGTATTCTCAGCCTCCGATAATATTGCCTACAAATTTTTACATATTTCTCAACTTTTTTTGTCAAATAATTTATCATTTGCCAAAGAATAGAGAATTCACCAAAATAAAGGAGAATTATTAAATAAATACTTTCAATGATTTTTTTTAACATTATTAAATTTTGGGAGTAGATCCTATGTTATTGTGGGGCTTCTTTCTTAAAATTATTTGCCCTCGACCTTTCTACTTCTTGTTGATACAAAATACTATCAGTTTTCATACTATTATTATTCGTAGAGCTGAGGGACATATTACTTTTAATGAAGCCAAATATCATAATTTTTTCATCTAAACTAATTTTTATAATAAATCTTCTTATTTTTTATATTTTCTTGCACATTTGGATTTCACCACCAACTATTTTTACTATTAGAAGTTTTTCCTTTTGATACTCCAAGCACATCTTTTATAATATTCTTAACATCACTAGTCACTTTTTCTCACATAACATTAGTATCCTCATGCATATACAAAATTTTAAGATCTAAAATCTTACTTTCAGAAATATTTTTATTTATATTATTTAAATGCCCTCATCTAATCCTAGAATATTATTTTACTTTATTTTTTATTTTATGTCCTTTTATCTTAAAGTAAAACTAATAATCGAGGTTGGGTATATAAATTTTTGGTCGGAATAACCTTACAATCTTTGCAATCTAAATGATCTAATTTTCTTATAAGAAAATAATTAATCTGAGTTTTACTATATTCATTTTTATAAATGATGAGACTATTAGTTTTGGATATATAATTCAATGCCAATAATTAATAACAAAGCACCATTACTTTTCCTTAATAATATATTGTAAAATTAAATTATATTGCAGGATAATATGGTCATTCTTGACCAATAGTCTCATCATCCAATTTCTCCCCTGTCTAAAGCTTTCATAACAGAAAACAAAGGCACCAAGAAAAGACATCATTCTATTTGCATAACTTCTGTAACAGAAAATGCAGGTACTCAAACTGATTCGATGCTGTTGATTCTTTTTGCCTATATGAGATTATTCAAGTTTCATTGAAGATAATTTTCTTACTCCTTAAAATAATTTTTTTAATATAAGAAAATTTTAATTTTTATACTAAAACATTACTTTAAAAAAAGAGAAAAAAAAAAAAAAAACGTCCCAACTGAAGCCTAAATCCCTTTGCTCCCCAATGAAAAGTCATAATTATTCATCTTAGTTCATACTCAGACTAGTTGAGAAATTAAACTTTTAATTAAGGCTTTATTTCAAACAGTTTATTATCATTTTCTACAGCAACTTCTAAGAAAAAAAAATCTTAAAATCGACAAAAAAAATAATATCCAGAAACCGTCGCAAATAAAACCTAAGAATTCTCAAAGTCAAAATCAGATGTAAATTAAATTCACTTAAAATTTTTTTAAAGCTCTAGGCACAAAACATATAGTAAGCATTCCCTTCTGCTCAATTATCTTACAATCAATACTTACAGTCGAAGTGTGAGGAGTTTTTGAAGTTATGCTGTTGAAGATATGGGCATCTCCAACTGAAAAAACACCAAAATGCTATAACTCGTTTCTAACTAAACTCCATTTTATAACATCAAAAAAGAATATTCTAACTATCGTCTTTCTCCAATAAAAAAAATTGAAATTTGCAAAAAATGCGACTTCAATATTAACGTCACACTGTTCACATCGCGAGAATAACGCAAGTTTTCAGTTCATGTAGAGAAACACACGGACGGCAAACTCTGATTTAACGTTTGGTTGGAGATGGCCTAAGAGAGTAAAAAGAGGCCCAAAATATCCTCAGTTGCACAAAGTGCAAATCAAGGTAGCTCCAATAATCAACCAACACAATAATGTAATCACCAAATGATCAAATAATCTTTTCTGCTTATTTTTAACTAAGTTTTAGTAGGGAATTGTAAAAGGAAGAGAAATTACTTATAGTTTCTAAATAAATTAAATTATTCATTACTTGGATTGAAATCATAAACTCAATATAAATTTATGAAATCAATTGCTTTGATCCCTTCAAACCAAACAGACACATTAAACTTCCTTCCTAAATGTACTCAAATAAATGCTCTTCAAACAAAACGAGCAGTACAACAGTTATAATAGCGTACATATGTAAAGTTACAGGAATAGATAACAAATTATTTGCAGACATCCAAGCAATGAAAATTGTGTTATGATCATCACCACCCTGCTAGTTAAGATAAACTAGAACCACGCAGCAATGGCAAGTTTCAATCGCTGCTCCTCTAAGGCTTCATTTGGGATGATTTTCTTACTGTTTCTTAAAGCAATTTTTTAGTAAAAAATTAAATTTTTATACTAGAAAGCTGCTTTAAGAAGCAATAAAAAAGTTGTCCCAAACGAAGCCTAAGTGTTCAGTGAGTACTTATGCCGACATTTTGGGCACTCATAGAAAACTGTCTGCCCTTCATCTGCTGATCGGAGCTGAAGTGGATAGAAATTTTCAAAAGTTAAAAATTTAAATGTCTTTGTAGAATAAAACAGAAAGAGATCATCACTAACCTGCTTGGTGTAATACTCAAGCTGAGAGTTATTACACTTAGGACATGTTTCGTTTACCTGTCATAAATAATAATAGAAGATAGTATTCATGACCAGTGGTTTAAACGCAGAATTAGAGAGCCAAATAGATCAAATATTGATCACTTACTACAGCTCTCTGCACTTTCTCCTCCTCTATCTGCGGCGCAGAATCAAGGATTACAAATGGTTCAATCTTTAGTTCCCTTCTGATATCCTGAATCAGGAAAAATCAGATCAAATTTGAACATAGCATGCGAAAACAGAAAGGAAAACAAATCAAATGGCATGGATACCTCAGCAGTGATGGTGTATCTTATTTCTTTGCCTTCAATCTCTACGGGAAAAAAAAAAAAGAATTACTAGTGTGTCAAAAGAAAAAACAAAAATGAGTATTTAATTGAACAAAATATCAACATTCACTCATTTCTAAGAAACTAATCAAAAAGCTTTAGAATGGAATATTGGCTAAGGGCAGAAAACTTTTACACGAAGTGATATATAATCTAAATTTAAAGAAAAAACAAACTGACACGTTCACTGAAAGAAAGCATACAGGGATGCTACAGAATCTTAGTCCAAACACCAAAAGAAAAACCTCAGAATATGTTACCCACTTGTTCCTACTTGGTGTTCCTTGGCACTTACAGGGTCCCTTTGTAAAACCCCTCCGAAGCTGATTTTTTTTAGTGCTGTTAGTCCGGACGAACTGGCTTTAGTACGGGACGAATTGAAGAAAATTGTGAAGAATCTGTCTGGATCGTCTGGACGAACCTGTAAGAGTCGGGACGATCCGTCGGGACGAAATTTGTCCAGAGAGCAAGTCGTCCAGGGACGAAAACTGTACACGTACGTACGAAATTCGTCCAAAGGGCAAATCGTCCCGGGACGAATTCGAATCGTCCGGGACAATCTGAATGGATATATATCGGATTTGAGATATTTTGGAATCATTTTGAAGAGAGAAAAAGCTGGAGAAAGAAAGAGAAGGAAAGAGAAGAGGAAAGCTTGGTTTCGGAGGACGCGGAGCGATTTTCGTCAGACGACGCAGTTGGAAGAATTGTTTATCTCGCAGTAAGGAATCCGATCCTATTTCTGATTTCGAAGATTTCGAATTTTGATATTTTTTGCTCAGTTTTGTGTTTCCGTTACCGAAAAACGCGCATGACTTTGTGTGAACGAAACTTTTACCGCGTAACTTTTGGTATGTTTTTTAGATGATGATTCTGAATATTTTAAGTATTTTCTGGAAAGTTTTTACCTGATAATTTGAGTTATGTGCGCTTTTTATCGAATAGAAAATTATCTGGCTGTTGGAAAATATTGCTTCAGTACAAGTAAAGCTTTGAAACGCTGTTTTATACGATTTCTGGTAATTTGGTAATTTTCTAAAACTGTGTATTTTGTTTCTGTTTGGGATTTCTGTCGACTGTACGATATTTTAAGGGTTCTCCTTAATTGAGCTATTTGTATTTATTGTTCTATATGAATGTGCATATGATTGAATCTATTACTGTTATACTACTGAAAGACAAGTAAAGACTGGTTGAACCGTTGGTTGGAGATTGATAGACCTGACAGGATGGTGGGCCGACGGGCTTTCCTTTAAAAAGGGTTTGGCGATATCCTCTACTGATCACGTGATTACTAAAGGGAGACATAAAAAAATTATTCTACCGACGGGCAAGAGTGACGACTCTTACTGAGCCAACGGATACAACGATACATCAATATTCCAAGATTAAAAAACGTCGTAATAGCCATGTCTTTTACTTGTTGTAAAGGCTGGTTGAACCATTGGTTAAAGATTGACCTGTCAGGATGGTGGGCCGACGGGTTTTTCTTTAAAAAGGGTTTGGTGTTATCCTCTATTGATCACGTGATACAACGATTGGGAGTCATAAGGAGTTTATGCCGACGGGAAAGAGTGACGACTCTATCATAGCCAACGGATTACTAACATACTAACCTTGAAAAACACCTTAATAGCCAGTGATTGTACTTGTCGAGTAAGACTATTGTATTGTATTGCATGTGTAAAGTATTGTTCTTATGATCTCATTATAGATTTACTGATTTATCGATATCGACGGATTTATTGATATGGAATTGATTTATGGATTTTGAACAGATTTAATGATATTGAATTGATTTATTGATACTGAATGGCTTTACGGTACGGATTTATGAGTTTCCTGTCATTGCACGATTTCATTGATATTTCATACTGTACATGTCACTGAATACAGATACTAATATGGATATTGATATTGCATTGATTCATTGATACTACTGATACCGATACTGATATTGATACTGATATCGATACCGATACTGATACCGATACCGATACTACTAATCCACTGATACACTGATTCATTGTACTGATCTTATAGCACGTGATACACCGAATACTGACCGATACATGTGATTCATGTGATACATTGAGCACGTGATCTAGAATATGATTTTATTGTATTGATAGATTTGATTGCTTTTCATTATTATTATTGATTTATTGATTTGATCGTTTTATACGATTTCAAATCGATTTATATTATTGACCGAAAGTGATTTCTTTATTGATCTGATTGATTATATGATATGATTGAGTGATATTAATCGTATTTGATTTGACGGATTTACGGATTTACTGTACTTTACGATTTCACTGTTATAGCATAATCGTTCATATCGTCACTGGATTATTATTAATATTGATACATACGCTGCTGCTATTGATTTACTGTACTGACATTATGCCGTGATATACTGAGCAAGTGACATGTGATTCATTGAATAGGTGATATCGATTACTGGATTGCACGTGATTTATTGAGCAATTGATATTGAATAACTGGAATTCGCAAGTGTATGTTTTGCTATAGACTGATGTGATAGATAAGACGACTACTGTAGAGATTTGATGCACGTACTGATTCATTGAGCTTTACGGACTTTTATACTGCTTACTGATTCTTTTGCTGTCGATAGAGGATTTGATCGTTTCTATATTGATTTCTGTTACTGTATTGATTACTGATTTTCGTATATGCATAGATTCAATGATCATGTGTAAGTGACTGTTATTGATTGACTGATTGACATGCATATTTCTTCCGTACCGTGCTTTGATTTTAGTTATAGGCTTTGGTGACCTGTTGGGCTATTTAAGCTCATTATATGTGGTTAACAATTTCAGGTCAGAGCAAGGGAGCATTAAGTGATGGTTGATCAAGACTGTCGACGAATTCTTTCACTATGGATGCCTAGGGCGTCACACCCTTGTCTTCCTTTACCACTTTTAAGGTCAAACTTGTACCGAATACCCCTAATTTATTATAAATGGAGAAGAAGTACCACATGGGTTTTTCTTATGAGCCTAAAGAAGTTTTGAGTATTCTAAAACCTTACATTTCATATCTACTCAAACTTCAACAACTACGGGTTGTGATCAAGGGTTTAAAAATAAGGCAATTCCCAGGTCTATTCAGTCCAACACAAACTGTTTTACAAAAGAACCAAAAACAAAAACAGTGATGAAATGCAGGTTGGAACATCAAATACGTAAATCTGTCGCAATTTGATTTAAACTTCTAATTCATTTCATAATCAAATTTTATGTTAGATATCAGCATTCATTTTTTTGCATAAGACTGAAGAATTAATTTTAATGTAAATAACATAAAACCTAAATTTACTAAATAAAGATAATATATAATTTGCTTATAATATATTTTTGCAATTGGATATCAATCACTCTAAATTCAATTTTGAAGCATCAATTTTATGATGAAAGAAAATTGAAGAATTTCAATACAATATCCAAATTTCAATTGCAACAACAAAAGAAGAAATTTGTCTAAAATATTGGTGTCTGAATTTAAACTTATAAAAGATATTTCATGTGGATATTTTATATTTCACGTAGTGTTTTTTTTTTTTGGCTGCATATGCTCGTCATTATTAGATGATTTAAATTTAAATAATTTCAATATTTATTACATCATCTTGATTTAGCCCCTGGTTAAATTCCTGATAAACCTTGAACATTTCATTCATTCAAATCAATGTATGATCTAATTTCAAAACCTTAGTTGTGATTATATCTCCAGCACTGCTTCACCTTGCTAGGGTAGACCTCAAATCCCCTATAGAGTGATTGCAAAAATAAAAGCTTCCCTTATGCACAAAGCACATTTAGCAAAATCAAACTAAGATAATCCCTTCAAATTGTACAACCTGGAGGTGCTTTTCAAGTGCTTTGGTTTTGAGTATTGGACATGGAAGGCAGTCCAGCCATAATTTTGTGGCCCCCACTAATGTAGGAAATCTTTCAATCAATAATATATAATAAAGATTGAATATGAGTGATGTGAAACCATGCAAAGGAACAAGAATTGCTTGGGGATTTTAATATAAGATTATTAAAACTTTGCTAGTTATAGATTTAGTGCTTACCCAAGTTAGGTTTTCGGAATTATCAATTAAAGACTATGCAAAGCATGTAGTTACAACTAGATTAACGGGATGTCATCAAGTTAACAATATAAAAATAGAGAGAGTAATTGTTATGACCAACACAATAATCCACGGTTAACAAATAGAACTCTTCACCTTGGGCCGCTCACTCAAGCTCTTGATGGTGGGGCTTTAACGGAGGAAGATTGAGAGCACTAAGAGAAAAATGGTGCCCAAAGTCTAGTCCGTTGGGGAAGTAGCCGGCGACGGGGATTCCACGGGATGACTAAGACAGCCACCATGAGCTTCCTCGCACCACAGAATAGCCAAGACAAGGTGCGGATCTTCAAGACAGCAGCAGTTTTTGATTTGGACAGATTCTGGACATCAATTGGAACCTTCCGGATGAAGGTATGGTGCTAGGAGATTTGTAGAAGCAGCGGACGGCAGGTTGTAAGATAGCAGCCAGCAGTTTGAAGGGTTTAGGCGGCATGAATCCAGATTTACCTTGGCTGGAATTCTGGTACAGCAGGGAAAAACTGAAGGAATTTCCCGACAGTGACCTGGGAAAGTCTGGACGGCAACTAGTGGAGGCCCTGAGTCTTGGTAAGCCACTAGGGGCCTTCAGAACAGTCAAAACGGCAGGGTTAGCTGGCTGAATTCTGGACAGCACGCTCTAGTGGGAGGGAAATAAGCTAGCTGCCGGGTAAAGAAGGGAAAGGAAGATCAGTTTTGAGGGAAAAGGGAGGGGGGGGGGGGGAGAGGGGTGTTAATTCCCCCCATTGCTCCTAACATTTGAATTTGAATTTCAAATTCAAATGTTAGGAGCAATGGGGGCTGACAGGTGGGGATCCAATGGGGTCGGGGTGGGGCAGATTTCGGTGGA